AAACGCCTGCAGGTAAACTTGGTAAAATGATTAAAAAAGTGGTTAATATTGTGGAAATTGAAGCAACTGAAGATCTTCCAAAGCGTACCATGTACACCCAAGCCGATTAAAATGCACCACTCAACCAGCCTCGATGAGGTGCAAATTCCTGTTGAGAGACCTACTGCTGAGGTTACCTCTCTAATTATGCGTATAAATTGACAAGCCCTAATGCTCAGCAAAATCAAAAAGAAATAAGTATCACAGACCAACCGAGAAAAGTGACCGATGTTACTTTAAATAATCCAACACAAATATGCAACATCATTCTCGGATATTACGTCCCGTTTCCAAGGCAGTGGTCTGTCGAAACAAATTCCAAATTGGCAAAGTTTTCAAGCTGAAGAAGGGAGCCACAGGACTCCACTAAGTTTAAACTTTGGTGGCCGGGACGTTATAGCGTTCAAGTAAGGAACTGGAAAATATAAAGAAGTTTTGCCAAATTGAGGCATTTCTGGTTAGTCTGGACTTGTTCAATGTTTCGCACAGTCCCCTATTCGTATGCGTAGTATAATTAAATTTTTTGAAGATCTTTCTCTGCAAATTTCGCTTCCATTGAAATTACTTGTTCTTTTAGGGTTAAAAATGTCCGGTTCCTTTGAATTTTTTTAGTATCAGTCAAATGTTTTTTACTGCGGTGGATTAACTGTTATACTGGTCAATTTTTAAGAACATTATTTTTTTAGTGAAGCAATGGCTCTGGATATCGTAGATCGTCTTATTATCGATACACTTAGTAGATTGAATGAGTAAGCTATTTTTGATGTTCTTCTATCACAGCTGTGTCTTTATAGCTTAACCAAAATAAGTGACAGTTTGTAGAACTGTACAGGTGTAATTTACAGGTCATTTTTTGAGGATTCCGTGTCATTGAACAGTTTAAATGAGCTAAGCCGAGAACAAATCTTTGAAGGAATAGTGCTTCTTCTGTGGAATTGCGATCCAAAAACACGGTTGTTATGGCTTATCATTTTACCAAAAATACCCATCCTAGAACCCTTGCTTATTCGAGTTTGTATTTTTTATGAAGTTGGATTTACTTTAAGTAGTCGTTAATTAAATGTCTTTGCAGTTCAGTCCTGACATCTACAAAGATGCCCCGTAACATGGCGACGAGGTTCCGAGCAGCGATGAATATTGTTGATGCAATTAAGGTGAGTTTGTTTGTAACTACTTGTTTATTTAATATTGATAATTTTACCCTTTTCAGCGCAATAATACTTGGACATGTTGTTTCAGAGTAACTCTTTTTATCAGCTACCGGCACCGCATTGTGATTTCACAAACTTTAATCTTTTTTATTTTTTTACTAATGTAAACTCCCGCATTTATTTTTGTTATCATGAAACCTACAACACTTTGGCCCTTGTAAATTTTTTGGTTATTTAAAAAGCAGTTTATTTCTTAGGTGCTGATTTAGGCCATCGGAGTTCGAGACGAAATTACCTACCAAACTTTGCTGTATGGTCAAGTTAGAGAAATGCGGAACGTCCTCATTGGGCTTATCGAAAAGCTTCCTAACACCACTCCACTGGTAGCTGATGAAGAAAGTAATTTTTTTTTGTAGTATAATCTTTTTAAGTTTCTCTGCGCGTAGCAAAAATTATATTTTTTCAATATATGTAACGAGTTTGCGTTAATTTTTATATCGGCGATGAGTAATTTTTGTTTTTATGGCATGGTTTTTTCATGACATCTGAGGCAGGAAAATAACCTCATTGCATAACAGGTCACACTGTTCGACTGATTCGGGAAGCGATTTCTAAAATTGACAGTGACCCTTCGCCGTCTGAAACCACTAAATACTTTTTTTCTGGAAAGGAAAAATGGAAACCGCCTTGTGTAATGACTTTTAGAACTACTAAACCTTTCTTAGTAATTAATAAGTTATTCATTCTTAAATTAATTAGCTAATTGGGTGTTGAATTCAGGTAACGAGGTTGTTTTTCACAAAGATTTTCACAATTAAAAGGTCTGTTTTACTTTAGTTTAGGGGGCTTGTCGACAACTTCCATTTAACGGACGGCGTGGAAATCTTGGCGAGGCTTTAAAGAGCGGAGTTGAGTGGCAGCGGAATACAATCTGCGCATTCTTAGAAGCATCGGCACTAGATGTTCTTGACTTCACGCAAACTAGTTCTCTAAGTTTGCAGAAGAGTGTGAAAGAAAACCTTAAAGAGAATGCACCTGAACCAGTGCGGTGAGTAGTAAATCTCTTTTCTTTGTCACTGAAGAAGACCATTGGTTTAAAGTAAGGCCACGGCAACATGTGAGCTGCGTTCGCAAATGAACTGCAGTAACTGTTATAGCAAGAGACCAAAACCAGTAGTTCCACCTAGAAGAGGTCTTGTCGCGAAATCTGTGCAACCACCA